CTGGGCCAACCACCTCTTCCTGGGCTGCAGGTGCGGACCCCTGCCGGCCGGCCGATCCTATTCGCAGCCCTCTCCTAGGGCTCACCCCTGCTGTGAAGCTCTGCCGGAGACTGAACCCACCCCAACCTCCAACCGCATTGGCCCGTCCGACGGCCCGTCTCACCCTGGCAGCACCTTGGAAAAATACTTAACTTCTCTAAGCTTCAGGTTCCTCATTTGGTAGATGGGTGGTTGTGGTGACTACTATAACTAAAGGGTGAAGAGCTCAATACATGGTGGGCTCGAAAGTTGCTATTGTTACTTGTATTATTACTTACCACTTTAAGTTCAAACCATCACCTGTGCAGGGTGCATCTTAAGAGCTTGGCCTTTCTGTTTTCCCTTTTATGAAAACAATAGATGTCTTTTTTGTCAAGGCCCCAAAGCCCAAGCCCATTGCATCCTGGCTACTGCACCAAGAGCGCAAGGGCCTGCTTTTTCTTTTTTTTTAAAAAAAAATTAATTTGAATGTCTGCGCAACCAGGCCTGGCGACCGCGGAGGAGAAGGGCCTGCTTTTGAAATTCCTGATAAAGCAAACCCGATGACCATGAAGAAGGTGGCAAATCTTGATGCTCTCTTTTATTTCCTAAAGTTGTGTTAGGACGACAAGATGACTTGGTTTTGTCCTGGTTTCTATACCCATTATGGCTGCCTGACTGGTCGGTCACAAGGCCCCTCTAGGCCTAAGCCACTTGGTTTTGCTTCACATATTGAGGTTTATAAACATATTGAAGATGTGGGGAAGCAGTGCCAGATTTACCCATCCCTCTCTCTGCCTTCTAGGTGCCCCTGGGAAATTCTGATTAACGGGATCCAAGAATAGGCAGATGTCAGAGAGTAAACAAGTCATTTTCATTAGACCAACATTCCACACATTTAAAAAATAATCAAAAATATTTTTGGCTCTCATACCATATCCAAGAATATGTACTGCCAGATGTACAGTACCTCTGTTTTGTAAATCTTTTGCTCTATTGGCATTCCTAAAGCCCACTTCTGTATCCACTAGCAGGAAGAACTG